ATCATTTAAATGATTCCAGAGCATGGGACGTCATTCTCGTTACTACTTTGTCACTATGCTCTTTTAGTATTTGTAGTTGTATTTTTTCTTCTTTTTCATCATCGTTCATTATCATTTTTTCAATCGTGGTTTTTTTTGTTAGTGTTGCGAGAAATCGATTACGGGTTGAATTAGAGTTGCGAAATTGTCTATTAGTGCTTGTCTATTAGTGCTGATTTACGGTTTAGATTAGAGTTATGAGAAAATGTTTGCTTTAGAGTTGCGAATTACGATACCGCGATTGTCTTTAGCAATTTTGATTTGATTGTGAATTTTTTAAGTTGACCTGGACATAATAAAATTTATCTTGCTTCTTATTGTTTTAAATTAGATTATAAAGTCATAGTTTATAATTTAGAGTGTTGAAATATTTGAAATAGCTTTTAGTTCATATAGTAACTTTTGTATTGTTCATAATAATTTTCATTGAATTTGGTTTTAGAGTTAGTATTGCGACATTATTTCATCACGATTTCCAGTTACTTTTACTCTTAGTGTTGCGATAATTCCATCGCAATTTCTAATTACTTTTCCTCTTGTTAGTGTTGCGATAATGAATGATCGCGTTTCTTGAAGTAGTGTTGCGTTTACAAAATGCCCAAATTCTTCCACTGGATTCGTGGGAGGCTGTTCCTGCTCCTGGGTCACCTGGTGCAGCTGCAAGAGCTGTACAGAGGTGGTCATTCATTGGCAACCTTCAGCATGGTTGCAATAAACGCGTCGCAATTAGTGTTACGCATTTTTAAACATGAGTGCATTGGTTAATAGCGTTGCGTACTTATTTTCGGGAGTTTGAAATATGACGAAGCACTCTTTGCGTTTGATTTCGAAAATTTCCTATTTCATAATTAGTAGCATTAGTGAGATAGTGTTGCGAAACGAGATACGGTTTGTTGCTCGTGTTTATGTCGAATGTACATAAACCTTCTGTTTATTGTATTCAGTAGAAAGTGTTTTATAATAGCTCTTCTGGCTATTGTATCGCGACTTTTTGCCAGTAGCCCTTTTGGTTACTGTTTTAAATTTTCTTTGTCAGTAGCCCTTTTGATTGCTGTGTTATTTCCTTTTTCAGCATCCCTTACTATTGCGTTCATTATTGAAAATACTGCTAGAAAAAAATATATTTTTTTATTAGCTATAACTTTATAACCAGTTTTTGACTGCAGAATTTTATTATAAATTTAATTTGTTTACATGTATGTAAATGATTTCATGTACTATGTATATAAAATGAAAAAGTGTTGCAATAAAATATTTAAATATTATAATGAAAGTTTGAAATTCTTTCTACAAAATATTTAAATCGATAATATTTTGCAGAATATTAGTTTATTTTGAAATATAAGTTATTATTCAATTTATTTTTATTGGAGTCAATAATAATGATTTATTTATTCTTTTTTTATCATTTTCTCAATCTCTTGTTTTTCTGTTCTAAATGTTTCAAGAGTAAAGTAGAATTTTATTAATATTCGAAATTTGATATGCATAAGTTAGAGTTTATTCGCGATCTATTTATAACAAAAATCTTGCAATGAATGAGTTTTGCGCAATTCTTCCTATTTTTTGTGCTATGTAATGAGTAAATAAAAGAAGATAAGTCAAAATTTTAATCGAGCTTTCTTTCATCTTTGTATCGTAAATAAATTTTAAATTCAGTCCTATATGAATCCAATCATTAGAAATTCTTACTTTCAAATTACGTAATTTTCAGTCAAAAAATAATTTAATTCAATTAATCATCCATAAAGTATAATTATGACAGTAATCTTTTTTGTGTATGTAATATGTCTTTATTGCAGATCTTTTTATTTTGTTTTTTTTTTATTTAAATTATAGAACTAATCCAATACATAAGTTTGTTTTCAGATAGATTAACTTATAGAGAGTATTAGTTACAGAAAATATACAGAGATATGTATACCAAAGATTTAGAAAGGAATATGGATTCAAGAAAATGACTAAGAAGAAAAAATTATTACAACAAAATGATGTTTCATTGTTTTACTTGATGTAGTTTCCCAACTCACCGTTGTTTAGTATAGGGTGCGCCAGTGATATTTTATTTATCGGTAGGTATTTCAGAACAAAGGACACGAAATCCCATAAGATGGTTGGTCTATGATATATTTTATCAATGGTATAAGTGTATTTTGAATTATCGCATCTTATCGTAATTATTTTCGTTTAGTTTATTCTGTGCACAGGCAGCGTGTATGATTTTGTATTTAGTGATTTATTCATTTATTTATTTACGTCGTGCGCTTATCATCTGTAGCTAATTCTTTTCATTCCAGAGTGCGCTAATGTCGTATTTTTACATCACACATTCGAAGGCGATCACAATTGCCAAACGGGTTAGGTTAGACCCACGGATACATTTACAGCTAATTTCGGTGTGAGTTCACATATGCAATGGTAGGCTGCGATAGAAATTTTGTAATTATTGATTCATCGCAAGGAACTTTTTGTTATAACAACGAATTTAGTAATTGTAGCGTAGATCATGCATAGCCTTATATTTCGTGTTACTAATGTAACATAATTTTAAGTGATAGTCGATCATAAAACGACCTTTGTGGAGACTCAGTGTGCATGCGCTACGTGCACTCAATCAAGTAGCTGGTGTTGCTCTACCTGAGGCATATGACGGATGTTAGCAGTTTTCTTTTTAATTTAAGTACAAATCGGCAGCAAGAACTGGCCAGATGAAGGTAATTTGTTTGATAAAGTGCTAGACATTTTGATACGTTAGTGACCTCAGCGAGGTGCTAGGTAATTGCGGAGGTTAAAATCCGTGTGTTTCAGGACAAACCTAATTGCTTCCATGGTGCTTTGTTTATTATTATTGTAGACACTGCAAGTTCTAATTTTCATCTTTTTTTTTACATTCTTCGTGATTAATTTTATCATTATTTTTTTTTAATAAGAAGCATTTTACGTTCACTTTCGCGTTCTTCAGCGTTCTGAAAAAAGTGTTTAAGTGGGCGGTGTTCCATTTCGTAAAGAGAGCAACAAAAGATACGAAAAAACACATGTTAGCTGTCAAAAGATTCTATTATTGTTATATAACCTATTTTCTTGTATTATAAATTTGTATTATAAACATAATTTTTTGTACTATACATACTTTTATTTAACAAAAATATCTGATACTTTTTATTTTAGTGTCATTTTTATGAAATTTTATCTTTTTAATGTAGAAATACTTTTGTTTCAATATATCTATGTAAGTAACAGTTACATATATTTTTTTTTAATAATTCCATGTAATTGTATACAGTATGCAATATATAATATAATTGAATTGATTGAAATTTAAAAATAAAATTCTTTTGAATTTTATGTGATATAATATAGATAATGTCAGATGATGATGTTGCACTTGACTCAATGGACACAGAAGAAGATATTTTTTCTCCAAGGAACCGTAATTTGGGCTCTAATCCCAGAAGGGTTAAAAATCTACGTACTTTGCGATCACATTCAAATTCTGCTTCACATATATCTATGAATAACTTAAGTGTGCGTCGTAGCACACGTCATAGAATGCAAACATATGATAATCTTAATACTAGTTGGATTTTAGGTAAAGCATATCTTAAAATTAATAAAATATGTAATAATTATGTTTAAATTACTTCAAATTACTTTTAATTACTTTAAGTTATGTCAATACAGTTGTTTAATATTATGTAATGAGTAATATTATTGAAGTAATATTATTGAAGTAATATTATAACAGTAATGTTATGAGAAAATTTTTCAATCAATTTTTAAACATGTTTTAGGTACACAAACATTGAAAGGTTATCCTATGTTTCAACAACATGGTTCTTCATCTGATAAAGAAATGGTAGATGAAGTTTCTGAAAGAAAACGTGATCTTAGGGAACGTATGCCTCTTAGATCACGTGAAAATCATCCTCCAAATAAAAATTCTTCAAGGCATATTAGAGAAAGAACAGAACATGATAGACAAAGTAGTAGAGAACTTAGAGGAAGAAGTGATCGTGATCTTAGGGAAAAAACAGAGCAAGACAAGGATATTAGAGATCTCAAAGAGAGACAGGAAAGGGAAAGAACAGATAGAGAACACAAAGATAAAATGGAAACTAGAAGTAAATCTAATGAGGAAAAGGACTTAAGGTAAATGTCCATTAAAATAATTTATAAAGTAAAAGCGAAATGCAGTTAGATCTTTATTAAACTGATTATTTATAGAACAAGAAAATCTGATAGTCCAAGTAGGCTTAGGGAAGGACCTGCTACAAGACTCGGAAGTTTAAGTGAAAAGGATGTGAAGCCTAAAGTAGAACGTGATGAAGCTGATGAAGATAGCTCACAAGAAAGTGAGAAAGCGGAAAATAATGACAACTCTGAAAATGAAGATGTAAATAATTTCTTTTTAGACAATTATATTTCTTAATTTGTATTTTTTAACGTAAAGTAATAAAATACAGGTATTTTTGTATAGTTAATACAAAATTATTATTAAAACGAAAGGATGACATATATTCATATTATTAACAGGGTTATGAAGATATGTATACTCGCATCAAACGGACTAGAAGGACAGCACAGCGGCAATTACCAAGGGGTAAGAAGCTCACAGGTTCGATGTTCATTTTTCACATACTATATATGCAACTATTTTATATGATCAAAGATATTTTGCTGTACTATTTATAATATTATTTTTATAGTGGTAGATAGTGATTTAAGTGAATCTTCCGATTCTCCTGGTCCTAGGAAGTATAGTTTACGTCAGAAAAAACCGACTGTAGATAGGTTTCAGGCTAATGTAGAACCAGTTCGACGATCTATAAAAGCACTTAGAAGCGTTCTTAGTAATTCTATGAGAAGGCGTAAACATAGGAGCAAAAGTACAAGCTCTAGTGATTCCAGTGATTCAGAACCTCAACGTTATGACAAAAAAAAAAGTAAAAAAGCAAGGTAAAGAAAAATTTCAAAAAATATTGTACTAGATTAAAAATAATCATACAAATTACATTTTCAAATAAGATCATTTTATTGTAGGCAATCAGCAATACCTCAAGGTGGACCACCTGATCGTAAAGCAGATATAAACCCAATTACTTTAGATACTAATATTCGATTCAGTGATGTTGGGGGTTTAGAGTCACATATTCACTGCCTTAAAGAAATGGTTGTTTTTCCTATGATGTATCCAGATGTTTTTGAACGTTTTCATATTACCCCACCAAAAGGAGTATTATTTCATGGTCCACCAGGTATATTTTATATATCTATATTTATTATTATATATTTATAATTATATTAATTATATTTAAAGCAACACATTGTGATTATTAATACATCCATTAGGAACTGGTAAGACATTGATAGCTAGAGCATTGGCAAATGAATGTAGTCAAGGCAGTAGAAAAATGTCATTCTTTATGAGAAAGGGCGCAGATTGTCTATCTAAATGGGTTGGAGAGTCTGAACGCCAGTTGCGATTATTGTTTGAGCAAGCTCAACAAATGAAACCGTCCATAATATTTTTTGATGAAATAGATGGCCTTGCACCTGTTCGAAGTACGAAGCAGGATCAAATCCATGCTAGCATTGTATCTACCCTTCTGGCGCTTATGGATGGCCTCAGTGATAGGGGAGAGGTTATTATTTTATTTTTAAAAATATATTTAGGCGCTTGATTATACTTGATTAATTTTTTTTTTTTTTGTCTAATAGGTGATAGTTATCGGAGCAACTAATAGAATAGATGCTATTGATCCAGCATTACGTAGACCAGGTCGTTTTGATCGGGAATTATTTTTTCCCTTGCCTGCCATGAAAGAAAGGCTGGAAATATTAAAAATTCATGTTAGCAAATGGAAAAATTCTCCATCTGATCAATTGTTAGAAATATTAGCTGAAAAAGCAACGGGTTATTGCGGCTCAGATTTAAGAGCTTTATGTACCGAATCAGTTTTGCAAGGATTACGGAGAACTTACCCACAAATATATATGACAAATAATAGATTACTTTTAGATCCTGAACGAATTGAAGTATGTTATTATTATTTAAGAATATATATCTATTAAATAATTATAATAAGATTATACATATTTTTATAGGTGAAAAAACAAGATTTCTTACAAGCCAGTTCAATTCTCGTACCGTCGTCACAAAGAGTGTCACCTTGTGCTCGAAGAAAACTACAACTTTTCATGGAACCTTTATTAGGACCTCTGTTGGAGGAATTACTTAATTCAATAAAAGGAATATTTCCACAGGGAGTTAATTCTGTTATGGCAAAGTAATGTAATTTTAAGAATAATTATTTTATAGTTATATTTACTTTTTTATTTAATATTAGTTTCTTAAATATATTAGAGTGAAAATTACCAAAGGAATACATCGTCCAAGACTATTAATTTCTGGAGGAAATTTGTCTGAAGGTCAAGGACCACATCTAGCACAAGCATTATTATACCATATGGAACATCTACCGGTACAAACATTAGATGTTAGTACTCTTTTCGCAGAGAGTGGACGATCTCCAGAAGAAACATGTGTACAGGTTGGTTAATAATAATGAAAAAAAACTTATATTGTTAATAAATTATAATTTGAAATTTCTCATATGATTCTAAATAATATAGGTATTTAACGAAGCTGCCAGAAATGTACCGTCCATAATTTATATTCGGTCGATTGATCAATGGTGGCCGCTTGTACCTGAAACTGTGAAAGCGGTTTTTTTGTGTCGTATCGCAGCACTTGATCCATCATTGCCCATTTTAATTTTAGCTACAAGTGATAGAACATATCAGGATCTTCCTACTCAACTTCGAAGTTTGTTTAGTGAACTTCGCAGTGAGGTTTATTCTATGAAAACACCAACAGCAGAACAAAGATCTAAATTCTTCCGACCTATTTTTATGGTTCAGAGTTTAAAACCACCAAAAATAAAAAATGATAAAGTAGAAGTTTTAGAGGAGCTTCCTATAGCACCAGATCCTTTACCAAAGAAATTAACGGAAGAAGAAAAGAAAATAATGTATGAGAAGGAAGAAGTTTCGTTAAGAGAATTAAGAATTTTCTTAAGAGAAATTTGTGCAAAACTGGCAAGAAATAGACAGTAAATATCTTCATATTATAATTTTTTGTTTGTGAAATAATTACTAACGTCAAATATTTGCATTGCAGATTTTTCATGTTTACAAAACCAGTAGATACGGAAGAAGTACCAGATTATAATATGATAATAAAACAACCTATGGATCTAGAAACCATGATGACAAAAATTGATATGCATTGTTATCTTTGTGCTCGAGATTTTCTTGATGATATTGATCTTATTTGTAAAAATGCTTTGGAGTACAACCCTGACAGGTTAGTGAGTACAGTGTGCAATATTTGTTTCATCAAATTTTTAATCAAATCTTATACATGACTATTACTAAATATTATAATTTAAACACGGAAGCATTTAATGTATTTTTTCTACTTTTTTCATAAATTATCAAGGAAGAATTTTACACACATATGATTCTTTATACTTATCCTTTCATATTTTTTGTCGTTGTATATACAAATATAAATAATAAAATTAAAGTTGATAATGACATTCATGTTGTGTGTTTTCATGTCAGCTTACGTGATAGGCCTTCCCTTGGAATATTAAAGAGGTAGTTCAGATATTCCTGTTTATCCGTTGCTGTTGTTGCTCCGTAGTAAGGTGGCTTTCAATTGCTGTCATATAATTTATTAATTTATATATACATATATGTACATATGTATATATGTATATATATATGAGATATTGTATGAAAAAAATTGTATTATTGAAGGCCACTCATAGTTGATATTGCTTTTCGATAGTATTATATTTCTTTACGACATTAATATGTATAAATTATACTATATATATATATATATATATATATACACATACATATTATATATTAGTCATTTCTTTCACAGAGATCCAGCAGACAAATTGATAAGGCACCGTGCTTGTTCTCTTCGAGATAATGCGTATGCACTAATAAAAGCAGAATTGGATTCCGATTTTGAGGACAAATGTCGTGAAATTTCGAAAAATCGTAAAATTATTGAAAGTACCCCTAACAACGAAGTGGAAAACAAAAATCAATCAAAAACGGAACAACCTACATCTACAATCGAACGAACAGATAAAAAAGACACTGCGAATCCTAGTCATTCCCTTATTGTAAATGGAAGAAGATATAATAGTTCCAGGAAACGTAAAATACCTGCTTGGGCAAGAGGATATGTAAAGAAAGTTCATAAAAGGAAAAAAATTGCATTTGATGAAAATGTAACCGTATCTGATAACAAAGTTTGTCTAACCAATGAAACAACAAGCATAGACCTAGAGAAGTTTCAGGAATTTGAAACTGAAGCAAATAGTGTTTTGAATGGCCATGTTCCTTTGTTTGATAATTCTGATTCTGAAAACGATTCGCAAAATGAAATTTCAAAAGTTATGCATAGAATTCAAAGCAATGTCAACACATCCGATCAACACATCGATGAAATTGAAAATGTCGAGATATGTTTTACAGAAGAAGAGAAGAATGTAGAAAATAGCGCGTCTAATTCATCGTCTAGACGGGAAAGTGTAGATGAATTATCGTTTGCTATTGAGAATGATTCTAGTCCAACCAGATTTGAAGAAAATGAAAAACTTGTGATAGATAAAAGTGAATTGGAGAATGCATGGCAAACTACCGTTGAAATTACGAAGGATTTTCCTGTTGAAGTACTACGCGACATTTATGTGCAACTGAGTCGATGTGTAGGAAGATATGCTCAGAGTTACGATAGAAAATCACTGCCAAAGGTAAATATGTCTTATTTAAATCTACTATTCACTTTTCAATATTCATTTATTATCGTTTTTTTGGTCAATTAATTTTCCAATTTCATATTTGTCATTAAATAATATTTGTTTTTAATAATATATAATTTTTATTTCTTCATTTTTGTTTTGAATAATACGATGTAGAGAGAATAATCTCTTTATATAATTCATAATGTATTCTATTTCTTCTAATTCATAATGTATATAGGACTTGCTCAAGGAAGTGAAAAGATTTGAAGAGTTCGAGACAACATACGAGAAAGTTCATCATGTTGCTAATCAAACCGACATGTTATAAATCACATGCTTTAGTATCATTATAACAAAATTTTTGTACATTTACACTAAACAAAGATTATCAATTAGTATGTCATATAATTATTTAAAATAGTATATTTTTTTCTTTCAATTTTTACAGTTACTGATAATTAACAAAAGGAAGGAGGTAACTTTATTATTACACAGATATATATATATATTATATATATATAAAGAAAAATCGAAATGATACATTAAGGATTATTTCGGTTTTTAATCGTTTTAATGCCATTTAGTGCGTCACGTTGTTCATCAGATTTCGTGTCGAATAGTGCCACAGCGTTTGATCGCGATGCTCAATTTATAATGCGTTCGGTTTCGTTTATAGCGCCGATTTGATTTCAATTATTAACATCATATTAAAGTTTCCTTTCTTTTTAATTAAACCTAAATCACGTGCATAAATAGGAAATTTTGTTACTTTATCTACTTTTATTGTGTTGCTTGGCATTTTTCGCAGTTACATCAAGGATCATATCACGCTGCCTGGCATTATCCAACACGGTTTTTTAAATAGCCAGTTCCTGGCACTAAAACGATTAATGATATAGTGAAATGTAACTGTGCGTTAATATTACAAGAGAAAGGACGATTGTTATATATGAAACTAAGAAGATATGAATTTAGCCATTTATCTCAGTATCTAAATATGACATGATAAATTATTATAATAATATTGGCTTTCATTAACTATAATTATTAGTGGCTGGCACAATATATCTCTTAGTAACAAATTTTGATATCAAATTTAAATCAGCAATTATACATAATTTTCAGTTAATTATCAATATATCTGCATTATAATTGGCATAAAAAATTACATGCAAAGAATTAAAAAGTTACAAACAGTTTATTTTTTGTGTAAGTTGTTTTTAATGAGATACTTGTGAAATAATTTTATCGTTAATGTGTGTATAGTACTTCGTGCCTCAAAGAGGTATATTTCTTCATAATAAAATTTTGCAGATGCTGGTTATACAAAGATGATGGTAATTTAATACAATATGTACTTAATATAGTTTTTTACATGTGGTACTTGACAGTACATTATATCAAATTATTTTATCACATATACATATAGTAAAATCCTACTAAATCTTCGTAAAATACATTATAGATTTCATTATATGCGCCAGTTATTACTTTGAATTTTTACAATTCTTTACATAATTTTTATAAAAGTACTTTAAATATAGACATATCTTGACATGTAGGTTTCAACATGCATATATGCATATAAACTCATATGTGTTCTATTTAAAGAAAAATTTTTTAGTGAAATAATACTCAATATAAAGATGTTCAAGATTTAAATTTAAAATCAGTGAAATAATTTTATATGTTCTTTTTTATTGTTTCATTAGAGGTCATAATTATGTTAATTAATATCAATAATAATTGCGTATTAGCCCCCTAATTAATTTTAAAACAATGAGAATTTAAAAACAAATATTATAAAAATGTACAAATACATTCCAAATTTTATGTGCAATATTATATATTGCCTAATTAAAATGTTTTGGCTTCGTATATAATTGATTTTTAGGAGTAATTTGTACTAGATTGTATTCAATATAAAAATAACTTGTGCTTTTTTTTCAGTTTATAGTTTTTACTTGAAATATATCTGCATAAATAAAATGATAAGTAATAAAAATATACGTAATTAAAAATCATGAGTAACTCAGTAAATTAAATTTAGATAGTGTATTATATGAAATAAATTTGTGCATTATTATATAAATTAAATTATTATATAAAATAATATTTGATATAATGATTTTTCATTAATATATATAAAAATTACTTGTATCTAGCATAATCCGTTATTTTTATATACATTGATGAAAAATTATTATCCAAAATTGGAATTTCATATTTTAATTAATACGTAATTTAATTGACTACAATTACAAATAGTTAAATTACATTTAGATAATTAAATTAGTTCTTTAATTATGATGAATAATGAAATACATGCTCGTCTGTTTATTTTGACCAAAGCTATAAGCCGTAAGTAATTAAAAATTAGATTCTGATTTTATTGTGGATGTGTCAGTGGATATAATTGAAAATTAATATAAATGTGTGAAATACCTCGGTAAAAATTATAATATGCAAAAAAAAGTTGTATTTGTATAAATATTAGAAAATATTTAATATAAAACTTACATTCTAGATTTGTACACTGGTTGTGATTTATACTGTAACTGTGAAAGAATAGTTACCAAACGCTATAGATGAGAAAAAAGATTTCGATGCATTCTAGAAGTAATAAGACTCTTCCTATTGACATTAATCATATAAATAGTATTCATTCATACAAGAAAACAATATGGTAGCAAATGAATTTCTTTATTTAATTTCAATTATTTACATAAATGTATAAGTAGAAAATATATTAAGTTTAAAGTGGATAGTAAGAATTTAATAATAATTTTTATGATCAAGCATATAGTAAATAATACTAAATGTTTAAAAGAATGCTATGTAATTAATAATTAATATTATTTAAAAAAATATGATATGTTATTAATAGATTGGTAACTAATTTTATAAATTGTATTAATTAAAACTTACGTATGTGAAAAGTTAAATTGTTATTTTTCAATTGTAGCAGAAATTATAGCTAAATTTTGTGACATTATAATTGACTTACTTAAAATGTGTTAGAATATAGGGATCAAAAGACTGAACTTTAGAAATGCTCACATAGTATTTATTCCTTTTGTGCGTTACTCTTTGTATTCAAATTAAATTAGCAAAATAATTTTCAGTACTCTATTAGACGAATTTTTATAATGTAAATATCAAATTTTGAGATAAAATAATTTTACATATCTAATATTTTTTATGGACAATTATCTTTATATTTAGTGTTTTCATATATATGCTTGATATATTAGAATGACATATTAGAATTAAAATAATTAGTTTAGAATAAAGATAATTTACCAAGAAAATTTATTTTATTTTCTTTGTAATTAATCATAGTATTTTTAAAAAATTCCTATGATTTTCACAATTTAATTTAAAATTATATGTAAAGTTATTTTCGTATTTGATTACAAGTATTAAAAATTAAAAAGTATCCATGCACATACATTATTTTGTATAAAATTAAAGTATGGTAACAGTAAAACTAATGTTTACAAAATTTTTCGAAATTTTCAGGAGTATTATTCTAATAATTTAAAACTATTTGTTGATATTTTTATTGAAATAATATTTTATGTAATGCAGAATACGTAATACATAAAAATGATGTAAAATATAAATTTTAGTTTATGCATTTCTGCACAATTTAAAATTTAATTCCAATATTTAGAGTTTATTTAATTTTAGTAGTTTACACGAGGTTTAGAAAATTGATAACTTGAATATTGTACTTTCTCTTGCTCAGGTATATATCCCTTTACGATAAGAATAATCAACATTATACAAATTAGTGCCACATTATGAAAACTAAATAAGTATTGGTATTCATGATAGTTAAAAAAAGGATTAAGTTAACAAAAATACCGTTACCAGAATATATAGAATGCAAGGAGTTTAAAATATTACAAACAAGCTGTAAGATTGCTTCTAATTTCTAAAGCATTAATCGAAAATTCAAAGATATGAAATTTTATTTGAAATTTGTGTGTAAATAATATAATCTGTATTTAGATATTTTCTTTCATTTAATTCAATAATGTAGCATCCATAAACTTTTGTTCAACTAAAGTATGTTAAATATCGCTGATATTTGCCAAAGAATTTGTATGATATTTCAGAGACGAAGATTCAAATGTAAACCTCAATAAATAGTAAATGATACAGAAAAATCACATATACAATTAATACAGATTTTTAAATAAACGAACATTAATTGAATCATTGTGACTTTTCTGTTTCTATTAACATATTTTACATTCCATTTTATGGTAAAGAAATCCAAGACATGTAATTATTCCAAGAATAATTTCTGGTGCTATTTTCTGATCTGCTGTCATCTTTGTATTACCAAGAGTATTGCAAAAGACAAAAAAAAAAACTGTGTAATTATATGTACATTGTATTAATCGAGAGGTTCACGTAACCACTGCCGTTTGAACTAACTACTATAATTGCTATAAAAGTATTCAGATGATAAAGATTGTAATGTTATCACTGCTATTTGCAAAGAACATATTGACTTACGAATTTAATGAAATTTTTATTGAATATGTTCGTACAATATGACCTTTCGCAGACAGTAGTTTCAGACATATGGAACAGATGTGTAGAAGATATAGAAAACAAAACAAAAGAGCATACACTGCCTTATTTATTTTACCATACAAGTAATACGTTTTATTGTCATTCATTGTAGCATAATAAATTGAAATTTCGTAATGTAAAGATTTATCTTTTTATTGCTTAACTTCCTATCATTCCTCTATGAAACCATATTTTCATAAATTTCATTAACGAAACATGTTAAGAGTCTTAATTTATCTGTTAAAATAATAAATGTGTGATAAACATAATTCCTCAATGTGCTTTAATTATTCACATTGTTCTTATACCTATATCTAATAATTGTATATCATGCAATAACGTTTACTTTCTAACATTTACTAAATACGTAAAATGTTTGTGTATTCAAGTACATACTCCTGCAACGCTAAAAAATACTTGACAGTAAATATTTAAATATTTTATAGAATTATTTGTGTAATTGGAACGTTTCAACTTTAAATGAAACAACATCTATCACACCGAAGAGAGTTGTAATGATTATGTCTTATATATTATTTAGAATCGCACGAACATTGCTCCAAAGTCCAACACGATTCGCATGTTTCGTTGGAACTGTATCGACGAAACGTCCAAGAAATAATGAAATTACATCGTGAATCAACTTGAATCAATCGTCAAACACACGGTAGAAAAATTCTAGTAAAATATTCCGGAAATAAACGATGCACATGTACGACCAACGATGCGAATAGTCGAAGCGTATCTCACCGGGCGAAGATTTAAGGAGTAATTGCATAGAAAAATCGTGGTGGCCGAATGAGAATAGGTTCGTCGGGTATGCGAAATAAAAGCTCGGAAGTCCATTTGATCGCGAAGAATGTCCTGCGTGAAGGATTTCTCTTGCATCGGAGGACTGGAGAAACAGATCCGCATTGTGAAGGAGACGGTTCTGTTCCCGCTCATGTACGGTGACGTTTACGCGAAGTTCAACCTGAAACCACCGAGGGGTTTGCTTTTTTACGGTCCTCCTGGTAAAATAAAGCGTTCTACGGTTCGTAATGAAGCGGAACATTGTTGAAAACGAGATTTCCGATTAACATTCTTTGTTTCGCAGGAACAGGAAAAACATTGGTAGCCAGTGCTTTAGCTGTTGAGTGTAGTAACTCCGAACGGAAGGTCTCCTTCATATCACGCAAAGGTTCGGACTGTCTTAGCAAATGGGTCGGCGAAAGCGAGAAGAAGCTTCAGAAGATTTTTTCACTGGTTAATACATTGCCTTTCTTTCTTTCTTTTTTTTTTTTTTTTTTTAATTAAAATCCCCTATCTGGCATTTTATCGTCCTCACGTTTATCACTTTTCATATTTTTGATTAAATATAATTAAAGTTGTTTTGCGTATTAAATATTGTCATCTGCTTTAAAAACTTTATTCGTAACCACGTCGATTTTATAGGCACAACAATCGAAGCCTTGCATAATCTTCTTTGACGAAGTTGACGGTTTAGCACCAGTCAGATCTAGCCGCCAAGACTTTGTTCATGCCAGCATTGTCTCCACTCTCTTGGCCTTGATGGACGGCTTAGAGAACAATTCAGAGATCATAGTAATTGGAGCAACGAATAGAATCGATGCTATAGATCCAGCTCTAAGAAGACCAGGTCGATTCGACAGAGAGTTGTACTTCCCGTTGCCATGTTATACTGCGAGAAAAGAAATACTCTCGGTACGCGTAAATTATAATATTACAATTATCTTCTGTTAGAAGTTTTTTTTTAATGTACCAAGTTTTGTAATTATATACAAATGGAGTCGACATGTAACTCCGCATTTAAAGTTATGAAAATATAATTAATTATTGAATTATTACATAATCTGAAGCGTTAATTGCCAAAAGTAAATAAAATAAAAAATGAAGATATCATGTATGTGACGATAGGTTCATATAAAAAGTTGGAAGCAGAAACCACCGCAGAAATTTTTGGCGTATCTTGCATCGAAAACAGTTGGATTTTGCGGAAGTGATTTGCAAGCTCTTTGCGCCGAGGCGGTAATGTGCTGCGTCCGAAGAAACTATCCGGAAATATACACGTCCAAGGCGAAATATCAAATTAACGAACGCCACCTTAAAGTAATAAGAACAATATTTCTCAATAATACAGATTTAAGAAATAAGAAAGAAAGTTTAATTCAATGTTGATGAATTGTTATAAACCTATTTCTAAATTTACAACGATCAAAAGTAACCAAATAAAATTTTACTTATGTTTTAAAATGATTTTGTAATATTTTCTTTTTCTAATTTTCAATTTTTTATTTCAGGTCGAGAAACAAGATTTTCTAAGGGCACAACAGAATATTTTACCAGCATCGCATCGTGTTTCAGTCGCACCAGTGAAGTCTTTATCGTATAAAATTCAGCCATTACTTCAAGATAATTTATCGCGTATTTTATCACAGCTCCAGATTCTTTGTCCACCAGGAATGTTAATTTGCGATATTATGTGAGCATCGAATTACCGTTTGGTATCAGGGAACAAGAAATTTTTCACTATGAACTACTCGTTACTAGATTGTGAATTTTTAATAATTTAGATTATTATTAATAAACAAAAATATATGACATCCAAAGTAGAAAATAACAAAAATCTGAGCACAATTGTGTACAATGTACAATTGCGTTTATTCAAAAAATGATTGAATTATCCTATGAGAAACTATGTTTATTATATTAATTTATAAATTTGATCGGATTCTCCCTAATATTATGTAAATTGGAAATTAGAAATTTACCAAAATGATTCAAATGATTTGAGTAATTTAAATTAGAAATTTATCAAATCAATATAATCATATTACTTTGGATGACTAAATTTCTGATCAGTGTAAAAGTTAATCATATCATAAATCGTAATCACGGTACAAAAAGTTCTTTCTTACAGTACTGGTAGGGCCGTATCGAGGTCAAACAACTGTCCCAGGATTTTATTGTACGGCGACGATGACTCCCACACTCGTCATCTGGGACCGGCATTACTCCACACCTTGGAACATTTACCCTGCCATGTGTTGGACGTTACAACTTTGTTCGAGGAAACAGGAAGGGCTGCAGAAGAAGCTCTCATTCAAGTAACTTATAAACGTGAAAAATTATTGTTTAATACTATAGTTAAAACTTAATTAAATTATAATACTATAGTTTGAACTTAATTAAATTTGATTCAAACAAGAAAATTGATATTTTATAAAACTGATAAAAATAATGCACAAAGACTTGATTAAACGTTGGTAAAAGATATTTCAAATCGTTAATATTTTTTCTATTAATATTCCTATCTAAAATGTCCAGATATTTGAATTTATTATTCATAATTTAATTTGATCATTTGTACTTATATTACGGTATTATGATTACTTATATTATAAGTATCACTTGTATACTATGAATTATTTATTTGTTTAATTACTGAATCTAATATCTTGATAGAAAATGAAAATGGCTCGACGAAGTTTACCATCGTTGCTCTACATTCCTGACATCTTAGCCTGGTGGAATCTGGTAGATGAAGCGGCACGCGTTGTTTTTACTTCTTTGATGCATGGCTTAGATCGATCGGTGCATATGTTAATCTTGATTACGGCCAATTGCCCGCAAGAAGATTTACCCGCAGATGTAAGATGAAACTGTGATTAAAATCAAGCTTTTATCAAGTATAAAATACTAATTTAACAATAATTGCTCAAAAAGATGCATGAGTACAATTGTAGTAATTAGTATTAGAATGCTATAAATTTAAAAAGATATTTAAATTCTAAATTTTTCAAAGATATTTAAATTGAGATGTTGTCGAATTTTTTGACTTTCTAGATAATAACACATTTCGATTACTGTACTTCAGATATTTTACATTTTCAATTTATTACGCATTCACCGAAATAAATGCATAAAAATTCGCAATCTAGTAATATAAGTACAAACTCATAAAAATTGTATAGCAATATTTAGCATAATCAATATTTTGCTAAAAAAAGATTGAAATAGATGGTAGATTATTCTTTTGCTTTGCTTGAAGAAGACAAGAATTTGTTTTTTACATGTTTTTCAATTACGTGTAATTACGAAAAGTCAAAATCATAAAGATTTTCTCGTTTTCATTTTCAGATTGCATCATTGTTCGACAAACACCGAGGCGAAATGTTCGAAGTCACGTCCCCCGACGCACAGCAGCGGGAATCATTTTTTAAACAATTATTCGTTCACTCAACGTGTGATCTCGAATCTAATTGTTCTTCACAAGGTACGATATTTTTATATTAAAAAATTATTCAAATATTTTAAAAATACCTTACTATTGTTGCTATTTAAAGACAGAAAAAATATGATGTTTATTTTTCCGGATTTTCCGACTTTCACTTAATAATTAAAAATAAGTATTTTAATGTGAAATAGTCGAAACAAGGAATAGCCTGATTTGAAGACATAAGACTTTTGAAAGTATCATAATTTTATATATCATTTAATACCATAATTCCGATATTGTTAGTTTAACTTAATTAATCTATATAAATAATGTTAATATATCTTAGAAATCCATCTATTATCTTTCGTATTTTATGTTATTTGTAATTGCACATCAGTATGAATTTATTATTCAACTAGCGCAATTCGAACAAATTATGAATCTGAAGAAGACGAAAGAAGTAGGAAGGAAACGAAAGGCAGGACGTCCCGATACCACGGAAAATCTTCAAATTCGTAAGTGAAAGATTCCTTAATTTTTTTCAGTTAAGGAATCTCATAGAATATTAATTATACTGCAATAATGATAGAGGAGGCATCGTTTTCTCGGAGGAGCAGACTTAAAGTTCGCAATAGAATTTGCACGGTGCGATCAGCTCACGTGATGACCAATGCCAAATCAAGTAACAAATCTTTTAATCTGATTTGAAGATCGTGGAAAATAAATGTAATAAGTCCATTTTTGTAAATCTCTTGATATAAATAGATTTCGCAGATACATAATGACCAATAAATATGAAAAATTGTCAATATATATATTTCAAACTACTTATTGTATTAAATGTACGAATAAGTAAATTCCTTATATTGTTTCAAAATTATTCTTCTACAAGAAAGAAAAAAAAAAACAAACAAAAATGTGACTTACACGCACACACACACATATGATCCCTTAAAAGTAACCGTTACTTGCTAAGAGAATAAAAGTTCGATCTTTTTATTCAGAAATTAACGTTAAAAGAAAAAGCAGCGCGTCAGGCGAAGGACCACCGTCGAAACGTACAAGAAATTCACCGCTTAATTTATCGACGTCGAGCAACGAGAAACTGAACGATTTTGAAATAGAGGAGCTGCTTCGTAAGATCATTGAGGTGACAGAAACATGGCCGTGTTATGATCTCGAAAGTCTGTTTGCCTCTCTCGAGATAACTTTGGAAAGGAATGAGGAAGATTTATGCTCGGCGGTGGAGTGCCTCGAACAGTTTAATAAATTAAGAAGGATAAAAGTACACGTGAAGAAGGAACAAGAAGACTGAATTATCGTATTTTTTATCTATCGAGATACATACAAAGCGTACGTGCAATACTTGCCACAGCTACAAGCAATGTATTTATCCTTTCATCGGCTAATCTGTAATTTTCAGTTATTCACCACTGTAAACCATAACGGTCTAACAACCGCCTGTTCAAATCCGGACCACTTCATCAAAGAAAATTGTTGCTAGTCTGTTGTGTGTTTTGTAAATAATCTAATGATACATTAGTCGATCATTATCATTGTTCGTGATTGTATATGTATACTTATTTAGATACTGTACTGCGTGTATCTGTATGTGTTAGTGATCTTTCTGTTCAAATATTTTGCGACACGACGTTTCTAGTATATGTATAGTATGCGCAAAGTAGTGGTGTATGCAAAGTCGTGGAAGTTATATTAAAAACTGCTTAACTATTATGAACTATATTGAAAATTAATTTTTCTTTTCAGTCAAATTTAATTCTAAAAAAAACTATCATTGAATTATTCGAAAAAATCTTGTCTCTTGGTACTAATTTTTATATTAAAAATTGAAAACTTTGTATTAATAGAATCTTATGGAATAGAATGTCGTCAGTTATACATGTATTTTAAAATTTGTTGGTAAATAACAGTCTAAACCTAGTATATAATGTCCTTCGCGACGAAAATTGTATAGCATTTGTGTTTCTTCTTTTCTTTAGTAAATAATCGACCATCGAAGAGCGGACTCGAGTATGTACAAAAGAAAATACAATTAGAAACAATGAATACAGAAACGGTGAATAGTTTCGAAAGTTCTTCAAATTCGTCCATATGTAAGTAACAACGTTTTTTTTTTTTTTTAATATAAAAAAGAGGACGAGTTTGCAAAAAATATTTTAAATATTTATATTCTTTCAAAATTCATATCTTGTTTGTAGTACAATATAATATAAATTATATTGTCTCATTTAGATGAAGAATCGAATTCGAGATTAAATCTCGATAATGCCTTGCTGATGGACGAGAGTTTATCAGATAACAGTGATGAAAGTTTTTATGACACAATGAATAGAAACACGTCAATTGCAATAAGAAGACAAAGTGATGATATTTCAAATACGTCTGAATATTATGACAGTACAAGTTTTTTTTCTTTACCCGATACGAAATTTTATGCGAATTGTAAAAATGAGAATCCTATTAATGTAAATAATTCACAACATCAACAAGACGTAAAAGCTGAAAAAAAGAATAATACACATGCGCCTGTCTCGTTAAAAATACTATTAAGACAGATGTTTGATGAAATTTTAGGAAAATCTGATTCTGCAAAGCAGACAAACGGAACTGATTCTACTGGAAACTTAGACAATGAGTTCTTATCAAGTAATAACAACTTAACAGATAGATCGAACAATACATTTGAAAAAAATAATAACTCGATATGTCAAACGGAAAAATTTCATATGATTAAAACTTCAACTGAGGATGCAAATGACCTGAGCAAAATTAACGCTTCACCTTCTTGTGATACATACACTTTAAACAGATTGAATTCTGAGAGATTAATTACAATACTGGAGAATTCCAATGAAAGTAGCAGTAATTCACAGCTAAATGAATCTAACAACTGGTCTGGAAAATGTATAGGCAAATTAAAGAACTTCTTTTCTTGGAAACTGAACAACAAATGTACGAATAAACAGATATTTAGTACTAGTGAGATAAGTGATAATATTTCTATATCCTCAGATACATCGACTGAGATCGATATAGTAAATAAGGAAATTTTTCAAAAAATAAATGATTTACAAGCAAATGATTCTCTGAATGTTGTAAATTTCCAATTTAGAAATAAAATTATTGTCGTAGAATCCACAAGTCCTGTTAATTCGGTTAAAAATGAAGTTAATTCTGCAAGTTCAAACTACGAAGAATATGTTTGTCCAGACACGTTTTTTCATAGCTCAAAGACTGAAACGAAGAAATTAAAAGATCATAATAGAATTGGTAAAAAAACTGCAAAACGACGCAGTTTATCTATGTCAGAAAACAATACCGAAGGTTAGTATTATTACAGAATTTATATTTTTAATATTATATCTATAGTATATAATTGTGATATCTTATAATATCTATCTCATAATTATATCTTTGTAGAAAAGAAAGATCAAGATAGTAATGATAATAAGAATAATAATAAGTCGAAAACCCCACACAGAATGGACTTTTTTAATAGAACAAATATTCGTGAAAGAAAGTCTATATCACCTAGGATTATTGCATCTCCTATAAAGCCTGTAACTTATCTAAGAAAAGTTTTTATGGACATGGAAAAAAAGAATAAAGGTAAATAGTCCTAATATAAATCTTTAATAATAAAAATTTTAATACAAAATTTAATATAACTTTAACGTAAAAATCTTGAATCATACCTAAAATTATAAACAAACTAGTTTTTATATAAATTATAAAATGTTATGATATATTAAAATGTAATGATATATTAAAATTTAATTTTCTTTTTCAGTACGAAGTATGAAGCACTCGCCAATGCACAAATTAAGACAAACCAAGGTACCGTTTATATCTGTAACTCCGGCAACGCCGGAACACTAATAATTGAGTATTAAAAATTATAACTTTAGTGTTATTTATTACTATGTTATTATTTATTATTATTATGTATGTTATTATTATTTAATACTATTTATTACATCATAATGATGAAAATAAAGATGTTTTATGTCCCCTTTAATCTTTCAGTACTATAGCAATTTTCAGCGGCTATTATATATAATCCTGTTGAATATAACCCCAGTCATGAAAATAAGTTAATAAGGAAGGTAAAAGTTTTATCAGCATAACAACCGCCACTAGATTATGGAAATTAGATACTTCACTTTTTCCCCTATAGATCCAGAATTACAATAATCAGTTACTTCTAAATTGGACATGAACACGAACATGAAGTTTGAAACTGTGTAAAGAAGAATTTCTAGAAAAAGCTAGTTCTAATTTTATTGCTCCATGACGTGGCTGCTTATAAGTAAGAGATTTATAAAGTTTAGAAGAACGATTCAAAGTAGAATGCCTCCTGAGTAGTTTGGCAAGAGAGTATCTATCTATCAAAAATTTCTACCATGTAACTCTTTCGTTAGAAGATTAATGGAGTTGTAATTCAATATCGAAATTTCCTGATTAGAAGCAAACGAGTTTCAATTACTCAGGTTTTCACAATAACGGTGGAGGAACATTGACAAGATCGTTCGAATATATTACAACAGTTCCGTTGCACAACAAGAAAGTGTTGAGTTTGTGCGGTTTAGCAGTGGAATTACTTTCTCCGTTACGACAATGTTGCATACGAATAATAGCAATAATAAACATTATAAAATTATAAAATTAATCTTTAGACTATTGAATAGTCATTAAATTTAATTAATCATATCATTGTTTCCTAACTGGAGACTTTTATTATGAAACAGGAATTTCATATTAGGCCACCTGTTTTTCTTATCTGCGAATTTTTGTTTTTAATTTAGTGATGAAGATACCGATTTCTTTTTGCTCTTTGTTCAAACAGATTGCAAAAGAAGAGATATCATAATTTTTAAAAGTTTAAAGAAAATGCTACTAATCAAGAATTATGTTGTTTTTAAAAAATGAGTGCCGTACTAGGTGACTTTATTCCATGTACATATGTAATGAATGTTGCAATCAGTTAGGTACTGATTATTCTATTCTACCTCGAAGGGATGTTATTGATCATATATGCCACGTAAATACAACGTAATACTTACAAAACACAGTCATTAACTTTCTCGTAAGTTAAGCGTAATTGAGCCATAATAAAAATGTCCAATGAGAACGCTTTTTACGACTAACAACGTTTTAGAAATATAGTATCGTCTTTACTCTAATGGCAAAAATGTTGTATACAAGTTGAATTAAAGGACAATTCGATAATTTAAAATAAATAAATAATAAATAAATTGATTCATTTTTTTGTTTTATGAATACAGAACAGGTATATTCGTATACAGAGTATTTTATAATAAAAAAAATTGGATTTAAGCATGGACTTAATCATGTGGTTTTATAATACTTCTAATTAGATTTATTTCGTTAGATCTTATATCCCATAGCTACATAGTAAGTTTAGAGTTGTAAACTCCAAGTATGGCAATTTCGTACTTTTATAAATATAACTAAAAAATTCAAACCCCCAATATTCAGTAGGAATTTACTTCATTTACTAAATATTATAACGAGCACTTTAAATATTTCAGATCCATTTTAACGTTATGTATATTTTGTATATTTCTGTAGCTTCAAACTTTTCATGAATACATGGACATCCGCAGTCTAGTTACAGATGTATTTCACTTACTCAAATCCAACTTTTTCTGACAAATGTCTTTTCGCAAAGAATCATACATCCCTGCTAAATTCGTTTTCAAAGATTTTACTTACTCAAATTCTCAATTTTCAGGTTTTGGATGTACCAAGCCAAAAAGACATCAACACAGCAGCTTGTCAGTAGCGATTGAAATAAATATGATCGCAGCCGACGACAGGGCATGCAGGCTCCTTTCTCTGCATGCACGACATGCTAATTCACGATCAACGTAATTGTTTCTTCTCCTCGATGACGGAAGATGGAAAGCAAGATCGAATCTCCTTGAAGGGAGATGGAGAGAGGCAAGCCACGCGGTTCTCCAGAGCTTATCAGTTCGTGTCGGGCAGTCGTGCAATGCGTTGCTTCGCCTTATAGTTTATTTGTGCCATCAATATTACGTGTGATACACATTGAACGCTTCACGGGATATACAGGGTGGCCTATTTTAATCTATAAATGTAATTATCTTCATAACTGTCCGTTCTTCGAACAATTTGTTCTCTTTCGAGGAGGCAGTAACTTAATTTGTTTCCAGGTGGACGAGCAAAGGAAGCATGAAGATCAATACTATTTTTTTAAATGAATGCAGCAAACTAACAGTATTAGTCTATGTATGTCAAAAAACTATTAATTTAGAAGATTTTAACTTTAATTTTATAAAATCTGTCGTATGAAAGCTAAGGAAGAAGGATAGTATATAAAACCTTTCATACATAGATTTTATAAAATTTCACTTAAAAAAGTAGTATTGATCTTCGTATTTCGTTGACGCATCCAGCTAGAAACAGACTAACTACTGCTTCCTCAAGAATGGAAGAAGTTGTATTTGAAACATTTTTCGAATAACGAACGGTTACAAAGATAATTGCATTTATAGATTAAAATGTGGCACCCTATATATGCCGGCTCATCGACTTCCGCTGACCAAGCAGCAACTATCGGAAGCCGCCAGCGCTTTTGCATCCAGCCGAAAACTTCGGGTACGTCGCGTTTCAACGCGACCGGAAGAAGCTTCTTCAGAACAAGCCGGTAACACGTGGTCTCTCTCGCATATACCAAACTTTGCCAAACCACTCGCGTCGAGAGGTTGAACGATCGCGTAGAAATCGAATTTGCAACGTAACAATTTTTAAGATATTGCCACATTTAAATTCTTTTTCGCAAGTACTCCCTTTTAATCGGCCAATATAGGATCAATCTCTGATCAGATAAGCCAGTAGCTAGTTTTTCGTTCACGTAAGCTCATGTTTGGTTAATTGGGCATAACTAAAATTTTCATTCTGAACAAATGAAGTTCAGAGTTCTGTTATAAGTACTTCTAACAACATCGCATTCTAAAGGTGGTTTTTGATATACTTACCTACGATATGCAACGAGTATTTTATGTCGAAGTCTATCGCTTTTGTAAGAAAATCACAATCCCTACAGACATTTAGGTTGACTGTACATATAATTTTTCTATTTCTAATTTTGTGTGTGTGTGTTTTTTTGTCCTATTATTCTAAATTCCTTAACTATTGTTGTAATCTAATGCTTTTGCTAGCGTTCACTTGTGTCGATATTTGATTTACATCTCACTTCTGTCGTAACACAAGTGATAGATGGAGCGTTTCTAGCTTCTAAATCTTAAATCACTATCTCCATTGTGCTGTAGCCAATGGTAGCTTTTATTCTTGATCGTACATGACAGTATCCCTGTTGATAAGTTTCGCTTGGGAATGTTTCAATTACGTGTTTACGTGAAAGGATAAAGAATTTCTGTGCTTTGTTTCAATAATACTCGAAATCTTAAATAATGTCGGTGGATAGTAATTTTTACTATGTTCTCCTACTGTATTTAAATTATACAGAGCATACTTTTGTAATTTTCTAAAGTGCATCTATCATGGTATGATAAAAAAGTTTGAAGTGTTTTTCTTTTTTGAGAAACATTTATTGTAGAAAGGTACAAAATTATTATATATTTATGTATATATATATATTGAAAAAAAGTCTTGGTGTCCCAGAAGGAAACTTTACCTATATGTTTTATAAGTCACTATAAAAAAAAGGTTCATTATACGCTACAAGTTTTGATTCACTTCTACAAGTTTTTATTTATTTCAAAAACTAGTGAATTAAAACCCATATTGTATATGAACCATTCTTATTCAGAATGATCTATCAAACACACTAATAAAGTTATTCGGTTTCCTACTGGGACACCCTACATGTATGAGCATCTCGGAAATCAAATTAACTGACTCTGTTTTTTATTAATTGCACGATTAATATTAATAGTATTATTATTATTGCACTTATTCCATAATTAGCGCAGTTGATCAATATGGTTTCCGAATGGCTCATATTCTTATCTCATAACTTATCTGCATATTACTTCTCAATAATAATACAAAACATATATCTTGCCTGTTTAAATAAATATCTTGTTTCCACGTTCAGCATTTAACACAAAATAACACTTGTACTTTGTACAACACAAACATATATATCCTTTGCGACATCGTAACATTTTGGCAGCAGTAATATTATAGAAAATTTACGTGAAATCACTGTTTATCTTTAGAACACAATGAACTTTCAATAAGCTAATACTTGCTTAGCTGTGTTAAAAAAATATATTAAAAAAATTAACAAAAATTGAACAATCAATATCAGACAAATGTTCCAACACTTTCCTTTCATCATGTGTTATTCAAAAAAACAAATTCTGATTACGAATTATTCGTTCGTAACAACGAACAAAATTTTGTAAAACTATGCTCATCATCCATTGGAACTATTGTTCCTATTGCTATTCATCGGCGCCGTTGACTAAATCTATTACAATCGGTCCATTACTCCTGTTTTCCATTCCGCCGGAAGACGGGACAAGGAATCGGCTAACAGGTTCCTGAACACTCTGCGCGTTGTTATGTATCTTGGACGCTTCATTATAATAATTAGCGCCATATCGTCGTATCATTTCCGCTATATCTATATTCTCATTGTATGTCATCAAATTTTCCTTTACGCTATCAGGCACACCCATCGTCGCTACGCTATTGTAACCTTGTACTTTCACATGCTCCTTCATGCCCGAAGTGTGTTTTTCTTTGGTCTGATTTCTACAACCACCATTCGATTCAGTTATAATTCTCTTCTTCTTCTCTTTGGCACAATCATCATTCGTGTCGCTAGACTTGCCATTGGGTTTCGAACGTTTCTTTTTCTTCGTACAGTCGATTACCTTCTCTAGTAAATGTAACCCTAGCTCTTCCATCCTCTTCATATCTTTAATGGCAACTTGTACTAACATCTCTCGCTCGAGCCGAGTTGGCGACTCTTGATTGATAATCTCCTCACTTCTTCGAATAATTCGTAATACTTCTTGTACGTCATCGTCGGAATTATCCTCGATAGTAGAATCTTTCGTAATTTGTTTTTGTTGTTGCTCTAGCTGTGATTGTTCCTGACTTTCCTCTGGCTCCTGTTGAAGCTGTAGCTGTTCTCTTTGCTGCGGCTGTTTCCTTTGCTCTGTTGATGTTGCTCGTATTGTAACGTTGATTGGTGAACTTGGAATACTTGCATTTGGCACGACTATTGGCATAATTAACGGCAGTATCAAATGTATCGTTTGGGAGTCATCCTCTAAATTTTTCGATATATATTTGTCCATCTTGTTTAAGGTGAAGTGTTTTTGATTTGTGTTATCTTCTTGTTTCGTGTGTTCGGTAATGTTTTCTGTGTTGATATTCACCGGTTGAGTGTATGTATCATTCGGTAGAGATGTAACACTATCACTTTTCTTATCACAGTTCAAAATTCTGTTTGATGCCGTAGTGAACTGCGGCTTATGACACGGTTCATTAAGCATTAAAGTATCACTCGAAGATGTTGAAGTAGCGTATTCCCAATTGCATTTTTCAGAATCACTCACTTCGTGTATATTACAGTTTTCAGTCACAAAGGACATATTTAACACAAAAGGTGTCTTCGGCGCGCCATGAATCGTAACATCACTCGTGTTTTTATTCTCTGGTATTGCGCATGATTCCTTCAACCTGTTCGAAGCGTCGATTTTCTCTCGCGCTATAATTTTCTCACGAACCACCTGCTCGCTTGCTACAATATTGCTAGCCAAATATCGATTCGAACATTGTATCGCGTGCACAGACGGGTTGCAACATTGGCAACGACTATTGAACACAACAGGATCGATACAAGAAACAGTACTTCCACGCACATTTTTGTCCGCAATTAATTTCGTTTTACAACCCGATTCGATTTGAATCTCCATGTCGTCAAATGCTTTTTTCAAATACTTTCGCTTCATTAATTTTTTGGCGATAACTTCCTCTCCTATTTTCAAAGTTAAACACAACATTTTGCGTTCTTTCGTTATTCCAAAATTTTCAGTAGACTCAATCGTCGTATTGTTGAAAGATTTGGTTAATTTTTCACATACTTCGATTTCATTTCTCGTCCATTGGGTTCTTTTTATATTTGTGCTATAAATTTCTTCATATGTCTTGTGTTTCAACGAAATGTGTATATTCAAGTCAGTTTCACATTTAAAACACTTTCCACATAGTTCGCATGCCACCCCCAGGATAACAATGGAGCAGTCACGCAATATTACACTATTAGGAATATTAATCCTTTTCATTTCACGGCCACTGTTTATAATTTTATATTTCCGCTGAGATTGTTTCCTTTGAAGACCGATACAGTGCAGAAAATCTTCCTTACAGTTTATTTTTGACACGTCAAGATATATGTTATGGTTATATGTTTGGAAACAATTTTTTTCACCATGCCTGAGTATCCTCAGCGGGTATCTGCCTGGATCTCCGATAGTATGATAGTCCTGTTGCATACGTAGCGCCATCTTCTAAAAGTTACGGAGTTCTGCGAAAATACAATTCTAACACTGATTATTTTTGAGATGTTATAAGTTAACAAGTACATAATACAATATGCTATTAAGTATGTAATACAATATGCTATTAAGTATATAATACAATATGCTATTATTCCAATGATTATCGATATATTTGAATAGTAGTAATAAATGTTTACAATGCATGTTTAGCCCATATAGAATGTATTATAAATTTATATGTAAGTTACTTGTTTTGGTTTATAGATGAAAATAGCATTTTGAAAGGTGTTTTGTCACATTATAATGAATATACGAATTGTAAAAATAATAATAACTTTGTTTCATTTTAAAAATATTTTTAGCATTGTGATATTTTTAATTATTAATTTTTACTATTTATTATACTATTTTGAAATATATATTTACGATTTTTCATTATAGTTTGTTGTAATATTAATAGTATAGAATAAATATAGTATAATATAGTAAAAAAAAAAAATAGTAAAAGTGTATAAATTAAAAAGAAATAATTTTTCAAAAAATTAATTACAACATAGTCAAATAATAATTAAAATTGACTAAGAATGAATTTAGTATTCATATTTATTTAATACTATTATTTGTAACTATAAATAGATTTGCACAGATAATTATCAATTTCTGTTCGTAAATATTAAGTATAAAGAAATTAGAAATTATCAAACTTTACATACAATACATTAAACATGTTATATAATACGTTACATAAATATGTTAAATAAATATTATATACATATGATATTAGAAGTATTAAATACAAAATAAAGAAAGATAAAAAACAAATAACTAAAAAGCTCATTATCATTTTTAAAATATTTTTGTTATAAGTATATTTTTACAAATTCTTTTCATAATTGCATCAAACTGATATAAAAATATAAAATACAAATAAAGTACAAAACTAAGTTGTTTTATATCTTTCATCAACTACTTACTTTGTAAAACCAGATTACAATTAAAAGATTACATTTTCTAATTAATTAACTAATATAAAATATAAAGTGAAGATTTAATACTTACAAGAAAAAACTTCGAAGATTTCGAAAAAATTTCTTCCTCATTGCATCAAATTGTTGGAGAGGTATTAAAATATTCGCCAAATAGTTTGGAAGACATTATGAACTCTTCGAGATACAAAAATAATCAGTTACATAATGGCGTAATTCCAATGTTGCCAAACGTAAACTATTATTTCTATTATTATGATTATAAGATTGATATATTTTGACTATAATTACAAAGATAATTGAGGTCGACTAATTAATAAATTATAAAAATACATATGGAAATTTTCTCACTTCAATTCAATTCAACGCAACACAGAAAACTGAATCTGTGGTAGACCCAACATCACGGTATGGCAACATCACGTAAGTAGGTAGTCAAGTAATACGATAAGACCCACGAGATTCGACCAATAGGAAGGAAGATTGTATATAACACAACCAATCGGCGTCCTTATTTCATATATCGTAGGACTCATACTATATAAGAACTGGGTACAGTTTATCTTACTCGGAAAGCAGCTGCTGATGCTGTGCTTGTTGCGTATTTATTCAGAAACAAAATTCATAAAAACAAAAAAATATGAATTAGAAAGATATATTTTTATATATCTATATCTTATTATTACATTATGTATTTACTTATATACCACTATTTACTTATATATATATATATACTTATATATATTACTCAGAATATGAATGTTCATCATAAACTAAAGTTTTATTTATTAAGAACAATAAAAGAAAATAAATAAAATTTTTATTGAGACGTATTCGAAATTTATATATATATATATATATATATGTATTCGAATTTATTTATATCATTTTCTGATTTACATCCAAAAATATTTAATAGGTTTAAATATCGAAAAGTGTATTTTAAAAATCTTAAGAAAATCTTACTATTGTAAATTTATATTTAATACTCGAAAATGTAAAAATAATAATAATAATAATTATATATATATATAAATTTAAATAAACATAGACTTAAATTATAAAAACTAGACTTAAATTATAAAAAAACACTATTTTAAATATGACAAAAATAGATTTCATTGTGGAAAGTTATCAAGATGAGTCAACTTACATGGTTGATAACCACTGGGAATGATTGTATTATACCAGACTAAATATGTCTCAGCATAAACATACGTATTTCACGTATAGCACATGAAATGACTATTATGATCATGTATAGTGTGAAGTTCATTCAGATTATTTCGTCAAATCATCAGTCACAAATATTAATTAAAAATTAATATAATAAATAGTTATTAGATTGTACAATAAAATAATTAGTTATCATTAATATTGATAATTATTAAATTTATATATTATTGATAACTTTTTATTAAGAATTATTTAAATATTGGTGTAAATTGTAGTACAAAATTTAATTCTAAGACAATATGACATATAATTTGGTTCGATTAGCTACTATTGTCTTCTAAGTTTTTTACAAGATAGTATGTAATACATACTTTTCTGGAAAATGTATATTCTAAAAAATTTGTATGATTATTAGTACTACACTATAAAGAATAAAACTTTTAATGAGCATGGTCCTGTGGCGCAACGGATAACGCGTCTGACTACGGATCAGAAGATTCCAGGTTCGAATCCTGGCAGGATCGATGATTTTTGTTTTATTTTTAATAAAACAATTTTTTTTAATAATAATATGTATATTGTATGTTTATATTCTGCTTTATTAAAAGATAAAAAAAGAAAGTATATAATGAATGAATTAAATTAACATAGTTTCAATTTATGCAATCAATACTTTATTAAAAAGATGCTTGATTAAAAGACTGCTTTATTAAAAGATGAAAAAATATATGATAAATGAATTCTATAAATCTTAATTAAGTTTAGTTTAATTTCAGTCTCAATTTCAATTTCAATTTCAATTTCAATACAGATTATATATAAAACATATGTATGTAACCGTCCATACAATTCGTTATAATCATTATACTTTCATAATGTATTTTTCTAATTTTAACATGGCAGTGATTTTGAATAATTTACCTTTAGTTAGTAATAACAAAATTGATAATTATAATCATTGTGATAAAACAACTTCAAATATAGAAATACAGATTAGATATTCATATTAATGATAACTAGCTACAAATACTATCCAATTGAAATATTTATTGTTTCTATTATAGGATCGATTTGGCCTTGCGAATGTACTTCTCAATATGGATATTCGTATTAGTGCAATTTATACGTAAGTCTTTTAATTTACTTACGATTAACATGTGATTAATTTAATTTGTAATAATAAACTTGTTTTTAACTTTGTATAAAAGACAAACATATATATGTATATTTTTTATTAATGTTTAAACTTCATTAATATTTTTTTCATTACTAACATCATTACTATAACTATCTTCGCTATAAATGGAATATCTATTAGATATCTGAGAACCTGCTTATGATAAAATAAAATAATTTATAAGGAGGAATTTTCAAAAAGATTACAATGATCCGAGAAGAATCTATTTTTATAGTCATTAGAAAAGAAGAAAGTGTTACAATTCTCAAAATAGTAAGAATAATTTACGAAATAAAGTTAGATTATAAATTATAGTTTATATATTGAATGTTTCAGATACAATCAAATATTTCTCAATTATTATTATAATTTCGATCATGTCTCGTTGAAAGTATTTTCAAAAATTTGACTAAGAATGTGATGAGTTGGTTAAAATTTTTTTTTTAATTTTATTTTATCGTATAAACAAAATACTTATGTATGCATATATTCCCAGTCAAGAAGATAGCACCACGCATGAGTAACATATTAGAGATAAAGTGTTCTATCATTTCACTGTTGTTATAAAACAATTTTTCCTTATTATGAAAAATATTCTGACCTCTTTCCAGTATTCTGAGTTCGTAATTTAACAATATTATTCGTTACAAATATAAAATTGTACATACGTTATTAGAAATATAGCAAAGGAGAAGAATATAGCAAACGTGTCTTTTTGACTGGGACTGTATGGAACTTGTATTGCATTTGTACAATGCTTATGCTCATACTGTCGTGAGAATAGAACCATCAGTAGCGTTTGATTAGAATGATTCAAGCAGAAACTTATTGAGTTGTGTAACAATAGAGCATTTCTTCCTAACGATGTCATCTCACGTTGTCACTATGCAAGCATGTAAGTATGCATATACATATGTACTTTTTCTATGCATTTTATTCTTTATCATTTTAACAACACCTGTTCCTTTTCCCTAGAAAAAGAATATTAGGAAAAATATCCTTGATCTTTTCGCAAAATTTCGTAAATTTTTCGTAAATTTATTTATCATTTGAAATTCAATATACTTCCAAATTTATTATCAAATAATATTAAACCTTAAATATTATATGCCTTTCTGTAAAACTGTTCCCAATTTCTTCATTCTTATTTCACATTCTTTGCATTACTATTTTACTATTTTTTAATTTGTTATTTGAGAAATTAGACATTGTCGATCTAATTAGACGACTTTACCCTATCGTGTAAAGGAAAAAGGTCGATATTTACAACATATCCAAAAATCATCGAAATCGGAGAGGAAGTAGCTTTTCTACAACTTCATCGTATATTCATATATCATTCAAATATATATTTATATTAAAATTATAAAGGTTATTAAAAAATTATTACAAAAAGAAAATAATTAAAGTTATTAAATATTTTACATCCGTAGAATACACATCTGGCGAGGAAACAATTCTAGATTCACCTCGTGGACCATGCGAGGGTCCACTGGGTGAGGACGATCTTCAAACATTCGACTTCATCAGCAAGCTGAAATTAGATCTTTTAGAGGCGCAGTACACTGGCGTAACGCGTGTCAGAGGTAGCAATCGCATGCAAACCGCCTACAGATTGGAAAAGGATGCAGACGTCACCCTGCCAACCAAGTATGTACGATTTACGATCGACCTATTTTCCAACAAATCGCTTAAAATTTTGCAGAAAAACTGGCCGTACATACATTCTACATCTCTCTGTTTTTTATACTGTTTGTCAGGATTATACTTCCAAACGGTTTGCCAGAGGAATTCAGCGCAGTCTGCACGTTCAGAGCCAGAAAACTGCCAAAGTATGCTTGGCACATTATCAGAATCGTCGACATGGAAAACGAGCCCCAGTTTTTAATCGCAATGAACCCAAAAACTCAGACTTTGGATTTGTCCATGAAGAACCAGACAAGGAGACTAGAAACGGCGTCGTTCACCGCCGATCGTGTAAGTAAAATGAAATCTCTTGCAATGATAATAATATTAATTAGAAAAATAATGATATTAATTGATTGTCCAATATTGAATCACTTCAATTGAAACATTCTTAACTGAATAAAGCAAAAACAAAGATGGCACAATGAAAATGATAAAATCTTAGTTTTCTTCAGTTTTAAAATGATCCCTGAATTCACATTTCACAGTTGAAATACAATTGAATACAGTAACAAAAGTAAAATTCAATAATCTACGTTAGTTGAAGAAAAGGATATTGCAAATGACATGTTGGCCTCCAATGGGTCAATGAGTTAAAACAGAACGAAATATCGACAAGCCAAGCGCATTTCCACTAATCAGCTGAATAGCTGTCAGATCCGACCGTGTTTAACGCTGCTTCCTCTTAAAAATGTCAACGTGGATCGCGTTGGATGATTAAAACGGGCCACGAGAACAAACGCGGATACTTCAAACAGCGATGTCACGGCATTCTCATGTAAAAAACTCGAGCCTCCTGTCAAATATCAATGGAGATGCCGCGTTGGCATATGAATTAGACTCTGACGTTGAAAATCGTGTCACGGGTCATTGCGTAAGCCTCATGCGAAACAATTTTTAGGGCGACCAGAAGAACGGATGATATTCAGGATGTAAACAGCCTCGAGAAAACTAATGAGAATACCATTCGTTGTGACAATTGTAACGCTTCAAAGAAATGTTAATCGTCCTGCTCTTAATGAATCGAAGAAATTCTGAACGCATCGACAGAAAATTGTACTATAATTGTTCATGACGGTCGATCCTTATTTTTACTTAGAAAATTTTCAACGTGCTAACTAAATTGTCAAATTTTAAAGTAATTGTTTCTTAAATAGTAACTTCAAAGTTTGTACTGAAATAGAAACGTACTACTACGTCCTAGTACTACGAAGTTACATTGATTTCTCAAATTATCAATTATATAAGATTATCTAAAATTTAGCGAACTATTAGTGACAAACTAATTAAACATAATATAAATTCAATTAGAAAATATCAATCTTATTTTTCGTAAGTTTAGTACGTATTTGTAACCAGCAAAAAATTGGATAAGACGTTTGTTTGGAACAGATCTTCGATAAAAATTGGCACAAAATTAATATCGGAATCTTCAAGAATAAGCTGGTAGTATACATTGATTGCGACTACGTTGGCACGCAAGATCTGAATCCACGAGGACCTATCAAAGCGGATGGCGAAGTCTCAATATCGAAGATATCGCACAGCAAACATACTGTACCGGTAAGTTCGATCGTTCACCTTTGCTATTGCGTACATTGTGCACGGGGAAGATAAGATCGGGGAATAGCGTTATGAGACAGGGAACCTAGTGCTCATTAATTAATTTCGATCGATCATCGTAATTACCGGACATTTTACCTACTATATTATTATCGATGCTTTTGTGTCGAGTTTTTTTTTTAAATAAAATAATTGCAAATCGGTAATCTAGATTTGAATGATTACGATGGGATGAAAGTTTAAATTATTTAATTATATTAAAGGAAATATAACATATGTATTAATAATTTGGTATTTCAATAATCAAAAAAATTAAATATTAAATATTTTTATAAATAATGAGTATTGAGTTTTGGATTCATCAGAAAAAGTTTTGTTAAAATCAGTAATTCAACAATCGTGATATCAGTTCAAGGTAAGACGAAACATTTTGTGCTTGCTTGGATAAACTGCAGTATAAGTATTCAAAAAAAAAGTATTCTTTCATTTGGTAAATTTTTCAATCCACTCAAGCAAATAAATAAAAAAAGAAGAGAAGAAATAAAATTATAATTAATCCTTACGATGTACTACGTTGTATCATATGATTTTCTTATATAACCACATGACCGTGTTTCGTTAAACAATCTAATGGATATTCCCGGAATGTCGGAAGAGTCTTTCAGATCTTTTATTCGATCAATTTCGATGAACTCGGCGAAGAAGATTGGAAAGTACACGATTGTAAGTGACATATAAAAGAAGTTTGCACGCGCGAATTTCACAGAATGCTGCGTGACACATCTGCGGGGGATGCTCGAGTTGTTTCATACAAGACAAATGTATCTGTCGCATGCGACAATTAAGAAGCACTTAATTAATAAACACTTTATAATGAACGGGACTAAGACGTAACTGGGACAAGTTAGATTTAGCACGCTCAAAGTTCAGAAGCTTGCAAAAACGCAACGAATGCATCATTAGCCCAATTTTGCAAACGAATATCAAAGATTAAAAATACTTGAGAACTGCACTTTTTAATAATAACGTTTTAGAGTCCATTATAATGATTTATAGATGTGCATACTTAAACATTTGTAGAAACATTTTATGAATATATGTGTTATGAATAAGTGTGTCAAATACTGATATGTATTTTGAAATTTCATTGGTTCTGTAATGAGACACGAATATTGTAGTTATATTAATAAAATTTGAAACGAATTTACGAACTTAGTGTTTTGAAAAAAAAAAAGTTATTGTGAAGTATATTCCACGAAGGAATTAATAAATAGCATAATGAGCAATTTAGAAGAATACTGATCTAGCATCTAGTTTATTTTTAAATGAAGTTTCTTAGAAAAATAATATATCATTTCTGACAAATCATGAATTATGATAAATCATTGGAAAAAAAGTGCAAAATGCTTTTTAATATTTCTGATTTTTAACAATTTCAAAAATGAATAAAAATTAAAACTAACAAATATTAAAAGAATCACGTATACTTTTCTAGTTTCAATTATTCATCTGTTCGCGGTTTTTGCTTCATACTCTTAACATAATTTCTCTTATATCTTTCAGATCGATATTCAGTGGATGGTCTTAAATTGCGATCCTACGAGGCCAGAGACAGAGACCTGTGAGGAACTACCGGTAAATTTACACATATATGTATATTTTATACAACTTCTATACAGTCCATTAAGATTCTGTGGTTGTAATAACGTAATTGCAGAAGAGCCTTAGCAGCTCCTTATTACCTCAGAGAAGACCTAGCTGCGAAATTATATGTCCACAGGGACCTCCGGGAACTAATGGCACTAATGTAAGTTAGAGCTTTTCTTTATTGATAAACATTCCCATCTGATTGATCGATGCATCAAGTATAGTATCAAATAGACAACTGCCTATATATAGAACCAGTTATATAGAAAATGAAAGTTTGTACAATAATCACAAATGAGACTATAGAGGAGAAACGTAGTAAGTCAGATCTTCTATTTTTCATAAGAAAGCAATACACTGATAGTTTGTAAAAGTACATAAACTATCTTTCATTTGATTTAGAAATTAAATATGTATCGTCGCTATCGATCTATTCCATTATATTTTAGAAACATTGTGCAAAGAAAGTTGGTAGTATATAAAATTCACATTCACGAAGGAAAGACATAAAAGAGAAATGGATTCTCGGACCTTCTGGGAACTATCTGTGATTCTTTAAGGAACAAGGGTACTATCTGAGGACTATGAATGATACTCAGAAGTAAAGATGCAAGGCAATTGAATTCAATGCGATTGAACGAGTTGGAAGAACTTCAGCGCTTTTGAATAAACGTCGAATTGTATAATTATATTTTTTACAATTGATTATCATATTATTGCTTGTTCTGTTAATTTATACTGAATCTTTATATATGATCTTCTTCAACTAATATGAAGACAAAACATAAGAAAAAGTCGCCAAGTAGACAAATTTTTGTCTTTTGTCCCTACATTTATCTATTTTTCATTGTATAACTCCATTACTATTATTCATTGTATAATTTAACATTCAATATTTTTGAAATATTTTTGGCTAATCACATGCTTCGTCCGAAAATGAAAACTGTTAAGTTTCATGGAACACACAAGGTTATAGTTGTTAGATATAGAAGATTCGACGACTGAATAGTAACGCTTTTACAGTTTTACATGTATTTATAGTTTATTGAGACAAAGAGTAAGAGTGACGTGATCTTGTGAATGACTAATCAATTATTTGTTGAGCTAACTTCAGGCAATAAACAGAATTTTAAAACTATCTTCTTGCAAAAATTTGTTTATATAGTTTGTTCTAACTGCCAAATGTTATAAAATCAAGAAATCAATAAAGATTTATTATATTTTTATTATATTTTTCGCTTGGAAGAACTGTAATTCTTCTCCTACAATTTTAGAATGAAAATATTTTAATGCCAATAAAATCCGTTTTACTAACATAATATTTATTTAGGGTTTACCTGGCTTAGCTGGTTTACCTGGACCACCTGGACCAATCGGAGAACCCGGATTACCTGGGAGACAGGGTTTACGCGGACCACCTGGAGAACAAGGCAAATCAGTGCGTTTCTATAGAAATATATATAACAATATAAATAACAAGGTGATTTATTTTGTTTGCCCTATTATACTGCGGTACTTACTAGGGACCACAAGGATTTACCGGTGCACGGGGATTTCCTGGAAATCCTGGTCCCAAAGGACCCACTGGACCAATTGGTCTATCTGGAGCAAAGGGAGAAAACGGTGAAAGAGTATGTTGTTTTTCATTTATTTTATTACAAATCATTTTGAAAAATCGCTACCATCAGACTATATTATAGTGACTCACAAAAATTTTAGAAAAATGTTTTAGAGGCATATCCCTTTTGAAATTTCATTAGCACAAATATTTTAGGAATATAATTTTTTGAAATTTCATGAGCACTGTGCCGATTCACAGCTATTATAATTATATTAATACAATAAAACGAATTTGAAAATCTATATAAAAATTAATTCTTAGATAAAAGTTCAGATATTTGTTGTAAACAGATTACAAAATAAATGAACAATTAATTACCCACTAGAATAATACTAGAATTATTTTTTCTACTAATTATGTGTTTAAAATCATTCATAGTATCAGATTAAAATAGTAATATAATCGTAACAGTCATAACTTATTACAATATTATTAAAATTTCAAAATGTTTCGTACAACACTCATATTCATAAGTCACTGTATTGTGATAATTACACTTAGTTTGTATAACATTAATTTTCATGAATCATTGTACTAACCTTTAGTTTGATTTCTATAGGGAGACATGGGATTTCCGGGATTGAAAGGAGACCAAGGTTTACCAGGACCACGTGGTTATCCAGGTCCTCCAGGTCCACCAGGAAATATTAGTGACTATCGTAACATCATACCACGATTTGTAGGGCCACCAGGTTCTCCAGGATTTCCGGGTCAAAAAGGAGAGCAAGGGGAACACAGCAACAAAGGGGAACAAGGTCAAAAAGGTAGTCGCTCGATATCTATTTTTATGTTTCTTTTTTCAAGTATTCGTGCGTGGTCATGTCAAATGTTAAACGTTAGCGTTAAATACGATTACGTGGATTTATCCGATAAGTAATCCTTGAATAGCCGCGTAAACTAATTTAATCTTGTTACAAAACCGTGTGAGGTTGTATCCACGTGTGCGCGGTGATTCATCGTTAAACACATTATTCCTCTGCCAGTGAGCGTAGAATGCTTAGTCTTTAGTTTCTTCAAAGAAAAAATTTTGTTCAATGATAAAAGACATTCTGATGAGTTAAATTTTTTTTTAATGAGATTTTAAATAGATTAGTTGTAAGTTGTTTTTTGCTTCCTCTTAGTGTTGAGTAGTAACTAAATGAATGTTGACTTGAATATATTGAAATGATATTTCATAATAAATATATTTTCTTTACACTAATTTGTGACATGAAAATTGACATTTCTTACTAAAAAGTTTAATTATCTGTTATAAATTTTTCTTCTTAATAAGATTATAAGTAGTTAGATAAGATAATTAATAATAGTTGTTCTTTGATTCTTTATGATGCTTAGCGATAAATGAATCTCATATGTTTCGAATCAGTTAATGCGTTAATTGCAACGTTACAAAAGGTCATCGACACTTTTGAAGGAATAATTCTTGCCAATGAAGTATGTCAACAGCCTCATATTTAAAGGTCGAGCGCAATCGTTCTAATGGTTTCAACTACTTAACCAACATATTCCTACTTATTCTATATTCCTCCTTTTTTCTTCTTTTTTTCAACTGTGAACCTATAAAACTTATCCATATTTTTATAATCAAAGTTAAAGAAATAAAAAGAAAAAAATTTTGCGAACAAATTAACGTTAAAAACTAAAATAAGTAGTAAATATTTTATCTTTTTCGAATTTCTTTCTTTTAGATTTCATAATTTACTTACGAAATGCAATTATTAACAAAAATTAAAATTCCAGCACCCTCTGATGCATGACATAAAAACAATATATTGCCATGCATTGTTGACCTAAATACAGCTATTCGAAGTGATTGTAAATCAATTTGTTGCAATCTGCCGCAATACCCGTAAACCCATTCCTTTTATTAATCACTAAATGTATGTCGTTCTCTTGATAAAAGTGACTACGTAGCAACTCTTGATGTATATTTAATTGCAGGCATTTCAATGCTTCCTTATTATATGATTTAGATTTTGAACGATGATAAATTAACAATTAATATATATATCTTGCAGAATAAACTTAAACTTAAAATTAATCACTTGCGAAAGAAATTAGTATAGACGCTAAAACTTAAATTAATTATCAGTTAAATATTTATCTATATTTTTCCCATCAATTACTCTTCCATTGAGTACCTTTCTAATTACATAGCAATTATTTAAAGAGTAATCTTAAATAAAATACGTACTTTTATCTACGTAACGGGTGAAAAATATATACAGGTGAACCAGGAGAAAAAGGTAATCCAGGACAAGATGGGTCTCCTGGATCAGAAGGAAAGCCAGGCCTTGATGGTTTTCCTGGACTCAAAGGAGAAATAGGATTTCCAGGAGCACCAGGTCCTCAGGGATTACCAGGTCTTCGTGGTGAAACTGGAGCACCCGGTTTACCCGGAATTCAAGGTCCAAAAGGAGATGCTGGAGAACCTGGCCGCGATGGTAAGTTAAATTTAAAAATAATATCAAAGTTCTTCTCTAATATATCTGATTTATTTATTCAGGTTCAATAGTCGGATCCATTGTACCAGGACCAGCTGGTCCTGAAGGCCCTCCTGGTACACCAGGAGAAGATGGTTTACCAGGAATAAAAGGAGAACCTGGTCCTGTTGGCCCACCAGGTCTTCCTGGATTGCAAGGAAAGAACGGTCCTCCTGGTTCTCCGGGACCTCCAGGATTGCAAGTAAATTTATATATTCAAATCCAGATTTAAGAATTAGAAATAATGAATTCTAAATTAATTTTATTGTTATAATTAGGGTTCACCCGGTTTATCTGGAGAAGTAGGTGCCCCAGGTCCTCGAGGAATCGAAGGTGCTGTTGGAAAATCAGGACCACCAGGATTCAGTGGACGACCTGGGGAAAAAGGTGATAGAGGTCAGCAAGGAGAACAAGGTCCCGTTGGACCACGTGGTTTACCTGGAAGTCCCGTGAGTTTAATTTATATTATTAATCTGTTATAAAAGAAAATAAATAGAGTTGTAATATTCCTCCTAATGTCTCTACCTTGGACATTAGACGTAAATTAGACATAAAGTATTAGATAAATTTCATTAGTACCACTGATTCAGGAGCCCAATTATATTTTTCTTTATTTAACGTATGTAAAAAATTCAAAGAAGTAGAAATAAACTTCTTTAGGGTACACCAGGTTTACCTGGAGCCGCTGGTATTCCAGGGTTAGATGGACGACCAGGTCCACCTGGCCCTCCAGGTTTTCCTGGGCCACCAGGAATGGTTTCAGACATGTTAAGTACAAATAATGTGTTGGAAACTATCGGCAGTCCAGGCGTTAGTGGACCAAGAGGTGTGCCAGGTACTCCAGGATTAGTAAGTATTTCAAATATTGTTTAATAATTTTCTTGTTTGTTTAATTCACTGGTATAGCAAGCTTAGTACATGTCAATAAGTTCAATGTTGACATTGTATTGCAATTTTTAAGTTTACTGTTATATTTACTATCATCAAAAATTAGCCAGGTGAGAGAGGACCTCCTGGAGAACGAGGTCCACAAGGTCAAATAGGACTACCAGGAATGCCAGGGAAAGATGGAGCGCCGGGGCTTCAAGGACCACCAGGTGTCAGAGGACAAACAGGAATGCCAGGAGTCCAAGGACCACCAGGCCAAAGTATCACCGAATCAGAAATTCGAGATATATGTGCCAGTGTGTTAAGAGGTGGATATCTATTACTCTGCACAGTAACGTTATTTTATCGAAAAATATAAAGCCGATGGATACTTATTAATCTATTCGAAAATATAGTTCGTAACACGTTTAAGAAATATAGGAAAAGTTGGAATTGCTAGCCAGAGCAACAATATTCACGGAACACATGACGTGGCCCGTTCTTGACACAATGATTACGTAGAAAAGTAAAAGATAACTATTTCTTTTATTGCTGCGTACATATACAGAGCAGATAACTGAGATGGCAGCACAGATGCAAGGCCCACCTGGTCCACCTGGTCGAGGCCGTCCAGGTCGTCTTGGATCACCTGGTCCACAAGGTCGCCCAGGTACACCCCTGAGAAAAAGGATTACCAATCTCTTTTGCCTGCATTCGACCCCATAACCTTAGAACATGATGGTAGAAATGATCCTGCTATGGGTTTTTGGTGTCTCTTTTATTTTAAAAGGCACTCGATCATCAAATTAGAATCAATCAAAACTTTTTTAAATGTTGTGAAGCGAATCAATTTCTGTATGTAGTTCTAATATGATAATTGAGAACTGTAACTCTTCCTCAGAAATCCATAGTAGATGGTAAATCGTCATTGCACAAAAATATCTTTACTCTAGCAAACCACAATGGTTATCATCGTGATCGTTCTGTCACGAGTTGCTTGAAATTCCACCTTCATCCTTAGTTAGAGTCAACATTCATCAGCGGCGTGATTTACATACACGCACGTCCGCTCGATTAACAATCGATCGATCGGAGATTAACAAATCACGTGGCTATGTACGTCGATAAAAACAATGGAATCCTGCATGTGTCACAGAGAGGCTGAAAGAACTAACAGAAGGTCTTCGAGGGCAACCCGGGTTGCCGGGATTGGCCCGACAGGGTCGTCCCGGTCGAACCGGAACCCAGGGCATCCCAGGTACCTACTAAATCAGATCTGTCTTAGGTAAAATGTTCAATCTAGCATTTTTTCATTGTTAAAATTTCAATATTTTTTAATTTTGAAATGCTAGATAGAATACTTTAGCTAAGGAGATTAGATATCCTAACATTTTTTCTTCTTGTATGACATCCTTGTAATTTAGCAATCCTACATTAAATTTGGTTCACTATTCATTACTACATTAGTCCTGCTGCAATTTCTAAGTTCTTATATTTCAATCTTGTTCATGCTAAACCTACAAGTATCAAGTTAGAAGAAAACAGCAGGATCAAAATTAAGGTAGTAAAGAATATTAGGAAAAAGAAATAATATAGTCAGTTTATACCGAAATTTGTAAATAGTTAGCACTGTATGCTCACAATATTAAGCATTTCTTGATAATATATCGACTTAAAAATTAAAAAAATTAAGTTAAATTGAAATTCTGATTAATAAATTACTTTTCAGGTGATCCAGGTCCTCCAGGTTTACCTGGGGAACGTGGATTTGTTGGATTACCAGGACCACAAGGCCCCATAGGTCCTCAAGGTCCATCTGGTGAACGAGGTGAGAAAGGTGATAAAGGCCAGGAAGGTGTTGGTATAGAAGGTCCAATGGGTCCACGGGGATTGCCTGGTAATATACATAAGAACTTTTCCAACATTATTGTTTGGTTCATTTTTCTTGACGGAAGTTATGTTAATAGGTCCACCTGGTAATGATGGCATTGGATTGCCTGGAAGACAAGGAGAACGGGGGGAATCAGGCAAACCAGGTAAAGAAAAAAAAGTTATAAACATGTTTTTAAATTCTTTTGCTGGTGTTTTTAATTTCGTTTATCGACAGGAATCCCTGGGATGAGAGGACCAGCTGGACCTCAGGGATTACCTGGATTTTGCGAGTTGTGCAATTATCCAAGCGCCAACTACTTACAGTATTCTCGCGGTAATGAAAAAGGGCCCTAAAATCATAAGTACTTTTAAGAATTTAAAAGGTAAAAAATATAAGAAGACCAATTAACGTCACAAGTGCGATTAACATTTTGCTCATTGAACACTTAAAACACTTTTCATATCACTGCCATATGAAAGCAAATATTTTTTGATAATGCGTATTTAATAAAATGAGTATTAGCCAAGAATGTTTCATACAAGCTGCTATTTAATACGTGTCTCAACGTATCAGACAAGCAGGAAATGTTTGTAAAATGTTGTTACGAATATTTTTTTAAATTGAAAGTAAAAGAAAACGAAAGAGAAATCTCACTTGTAATTTCCTCGTGTAGAAACATACTTCATGCCACATGTAACTATCGCACGCGCAATGGTCCGATTCCTTGTTCTCCCGTCTAAAGTGGCGATGGCGCCACCGACAGTCAGTGCCAGTTGAAATCAGTGATGGCCGTAAGGCTCGCGGTGCACATTGTGTTGAGATTGCGTTGAGTTTGTTTATCGCGATATTTTCGTGGCAAGAAAAATTCTGTGACTCTCATTCGGGCGGACCGATCATCGCTACGTATCCCCGTGAAAATCACATTCGGATGAGTCGTATTTGTCGCAGCGGCTCATAGAAACTACGTATTTGCTTCTCTTGACAGTTCTGTCCCGTGTTCGGAGTAGCAATAGCCACTCGAGTGCCACGACAAGTGTCGTTACGTCGCTACTCAGGTGACTTTTTCAGAACAGCAGCCGTCCTAATGACGTCGTGTATGTGATAAAACGATACGAAAGGAGTCTTTGTCGACACGGGGACGGCGACCGATCCCCCTCCCCTCCCCCTACACCCGTCGGCAATTCTTTTTCTTTTCACCCTTACTGGAGACACGCGCATCGAAAGCGTCTAAGGTATGTACACCGGCAGGCCAGGTTAGGTGTATCGCCGTGTCTCGTGACGGCGTTCTGAACAATTTTGATTTTTTTTTTTTTAATACGCCTGCTTTCATACAGTTTGCGTTATTAGATAAAAATTAATAGACAATACTTTGGTACATGCTCGCTCTTACAGTGAGATGAAGATTCGGTATTTTTATATCCGCTTTTAAATATCAAGCAAAATTAAGGCAACTCGTTTGTGCAATTTTTATTATCGGTAGAATTTTATCAAAAACTGTAAGTGCGATTGAAGTAAGTGACAGTGGTTGTCTAAAGTATTGTCAAAAATGTATGAATGTATGTATTTGAATAATATATGAAGATGCAGTAGTATTGTACTAAAATTTTGTCGTTAAAGTCGGTACGGTATCGATACGGTTTCTAAAACGGGTGGCAAGAGCTTAGATTTTGCTGTACCTGCAAGAATGTCCCCTTATTTATTTACCGTTATGGCATATTATAACGGCAACGATAAGCCCTGACAAATAAGATTAACTTCATACACGTCTAATGTAATATAACGGACACTGTCCCGGCGAGTATACATATACATACATATATCCTATCTGGCAAAGGAAGTGTTGGTCCCCCCTTAAACGGTGTTCCACTGACACACGTTGCTTCTTCCACTCGGCACCAGTCCAAAACATTATTTTCGATTGATTAACCATTGTCGCGTACCATCGGTACGGCAAAGTTCAGTTAGTAAAATCTCAACGCAAAGAATGACGTATCGCTTCGTGATTGTTAAAATCAATCTATAATCCGATCGTGTATCGTTCGAAATCGTATGACGTTTCGTACGATTGACATTTATCCCTGACGCTGGTACACACACGATGGCTCGTATCCGTAAAATACGTTACAAATTTTAATATATCTTACTGTCGATTATTCTCAATACGATAAATCACATTCGACAGGATATCGATCCCATGTCATTTGGGATTAACGCAATTAAAGATTATTTGTTCGACTTGTTCGATTGTTTGACGAGATATCCACGTCATCTTAACGAGAATCTGAATTATGGGGAATCCGAAATTGGCCGCGCCTTTTGGCCGCTCCATTTCGCGCGTTCCTCTGTACGCACCGAAACTGTCCCACATTCCCGACCGTTCCTCTGTCTCCTCAGGCGATCTTACTCCCCACCTGGCCCACTTATTGTATTGATTCAAACTTAGGCATCCACACGTTCCTCATTCCTTTGGAACTTCCTGCTTGACGATCTTCCCGTGACACTTCCTGCTTAATCCTTCCGGCAATTTGTGCGTCACAAAGACAGTAATATTGTCAGAGGAAATGTACTGAAGAAAATGGTATGGACCGATGTATAGTTGGGCGGAGGGGGGAGGGGACTTTCAGGTTGCCCGAGAAATTCCTTCCGCCGGCGCGAGCATTGTTCCGGTCTCTCAGTTCCTCCGTTCTATTCAGCAATCCAGTTATTTCATTTATCGTTTAGACATCCATTTTAGGTACATTAACGTTAGGATTATATGGATTGTTCTCGAGATTTGTAACTCGATATTATTGATCCCGCGTATTGCTATTTGTAGTGGTATATGTAGGTATATATATTCGGGGTCGAAGGCTTTTGTCATCAACAGCTTTCGTCGGGACGCTTTCTCTTTATGCGACCAGCAATCAATACACTTTTTAGATCGCAGTAAACAGAAATGGATGAAAAATGCCTTCTACGGTCATGTCAGTTTCATTGTAAAGAAATTCTTTTTGTTTGCCTCTCTTATTATTAATATACGTTATTATCGTTGAATTGTTATTAAGATCATGAACAAGTTTTTCATTTTGATTAGCTTCATCGTTCATTTAAATTTGCATTGCGTCATATAAATTTGTGTATTTATTCATTATCAGTTCTTATTGTTGCAATGACAACAGTTAAGTTTACTCTCGAAGGTAAATTGAACGTTTCTTCTTTCTGAAATATTGATAATTTGTATAATAATGAACTGTCACAGAAGAACAATCATTTATTCTATTTACTCTTCCACAAAATTCACGATATCCAGCATATCAATTTCATGAATATTTATATAAATTTAATTGTAAAATAGAATATTTCAGTATGAATGAAAAACAGAAGCGAGCAAATATTAAAAGTAATATAAAAGACTAAAAAGGCACAAAAGTTTTAAATATTAAAGATTCTAAATAATTAATCTAATAGAGATAAAAATAATTATTATTAATTTCTGGATTGTGGATTTTTATGCAAATCCATGATTTGGAAAATATGATTTAAAAAAATAAGATAACTGTAGGAAATTATTTTCTAATTGTTATAGAATGCACTTTGGATATTTTTCTTGGACAAATGGAGCCAAGTAGAATATAAGTCTTTCATTATTAATCAACAGTAGATGAAGCGCAGAAAAATCATTACTTGAAGTAATCAATTAGAAGTGTTGTTAAAAGACAGTAGCTAATATTAAGATTAACAGAATTCGCGTGGGATGAAATTTTTTCAACAGCTTATAGGGATTAGATATCAAAAAAATAGTACACGAAAGGAGGCACCAAGTAGCAACAGTATCGCGAAATGAAAAACAAATATTTGCTCTGAACGATTCACATAATCATACGAGTAAAACTGAAGCTAGGAATAAACCTTTCAAATCTGGAAATTGACGGTAATCTCGGAAACGTGTCGTACACGTTGGTTAGCTGATTATTTCGCAGAAAGTAGAAAGACAAGGAACATGATCTTTCTCTCTCGTAATTCGGTAAATAAAATTCACCGCGTGCAGCGCACGCGAATATGTACTTATGGTCGAGCGACGAGAGTCTATCATAAAATATCGATTAGCCAGTATAGAAACCTACATAGTTTTTACTGTATTTATCGTGGCCGTCTCTATATTTACGAAGCATTCCACGTGATATGATCTACTCCGATTCTTCCCTGTTGGATGTACGCGCATCAGTGTTATTAAGATCAGCGAAAAAGCTTTGTCCACGATGGACAAACTAGCTTTGCAAAACGAACCTCAACGAGATTACATAACTTCTCCCTATGGGATTTTCTTCTCTCTCCGTTGGTTTCCTCCATTTAGCGTTGCGTTTCGTTCTATTTACCAAACGGTTCTCCACATTGATGCATTTAAGGCATTGTCAAGCATTAATCGTTATTGGGCGCGGCGATTGAATCAAATTGAATTACACAAAGCCGATTCGACAAATTGATTAAATGCTATTGACCACGGTCACGAAGGTTTTCAGCCGTGGTACCTTTAATTGAGTGTTTTTATCGTTGGTGCGCAGTAAATAATTACAAGGGACATTATTCAGTTTATGATCACAATCATATAAATGTTTTAACACGGACCGGCAGAATTTATCAAGATATTTATTTGAAAAATGTTACTGGCAATTCGAGCCTCTTTTTTTTTTTTTTTTTTTTTTGAAAAAAAAAAAAAGCGGAAAATATACGCGAAATGGAGATCTTCCGTCGTTGAGATGAAAACGTCTCGTACNTTTTTTTTTATTGAGAACAAAATATTCAATATCTATGTCGTAATATGTTATCCTCTTTGAACCTCTAATAAGAGAACTAATTATTTGAAGTATCTCAGATTATCTGTATGACACTCAAGTACGGATTAAACACTCAAAGAGTTAATAATAGACAGTAAAACCAGCGACAGACAAACATTCTTTAGAGAGCAAGAAAAATATTTGTCCTCCTAACATCGTTGTCCCAACTCATATTTCTCGTTTCTTGAGAACCTGCACTCAATCTTCATCAGCCCTTAGGTGATTATTGGAAACGAATGACGATGTGATTTCTCCGGGGGGAGTTCATTCACAGTCATTAAAGGCTATTACGCAAACGACGCGAGGTGAAGAGGTTTTGTTCGAGGGGCGAATCGGTTCTCGCATTGTTCGCCACTTCGCGTTTTAATTACGCGGCGCAATGAACTTCGTAACTACTTACCGGACTTCGACCACCCCGTATACTTCAATAATCGGTGTACATGTAGCGAAACTTTCTTCTTTTCTTCTCTCCCCTCCCCCATTTTTTCTTCCTTTGCTCTTTTTTTTTTTTCTTTCTTTCTCGGCGTTTTCCTTAGGTGCGCGCACGTAATATCGATCCTACTTCGTTCTGCTCGATTGACTATGCCATCAGGTTACTGGCAACGTTGCGATAATAATACCTTCGCCAGTTCTAAAAACCAAAGGGTATCGATTTTTTCCATCGTCGGGTCGCACGTTCAACGTGATTGCGCGTGTGTATTATATTCTATGAACATAGAGAAGATTTCAGTGGCGGTGTACGATTCCGTGAAGGCCATAATCTATCAAATATTTTATGAAGATTGTAGTGTATAGTGGATATATATTTTTGTCAATATTTTTATTTCAGTGTCACTTTGTGATTTGCGCATAAGGGAGAGAAATTTTTCATTTTCGCCTAATCACCAATAAAGATTATTCAACCAGCAGTGAAAATGCATTCAGATTTTTCGAAACTATCAAGGGCCAAGTAAAAGTTGCAACATTATTAAAAGAATATAGATATAATTATTATTTTATATAGATATAATTATTATTTTGTCAAGTTATGTATTGTTTTTTCAAGTTGCACAAAATGTATTGCAAACATATATAATATTGCAAACATCGCAAAACAATTACAAGAAAAATAACGAAGGTAAAAAAAGCACTCGTACAATTCGGAAAAAATAGTTTATTGTAATGATAGAAAATAATAATATCGGCATATTTCAATTTCTTTGGATTTCATAAAGTTACAATATAAAGAAGTGTTCTCTGATAAAAAATATATATTAAAAACAAATATATACATATATCTAAATATGTGATAATAAAATATAGTAAAATAAACATGTAGATACACGTTAAAAGAGTTTGTAATTTATAGTAAGACATAGAGGAGAAATTATAAGGAAAAACTAGCATCAGAGTAGCAATTAACGTAGTGATCAATGAAA